GGGCTTACCACGGAATCCATATCAATAATTTAAACCGTTAATGTGTAGGGTTCGTTGAATATTTTATCCCTAAAAAAAATCACTTTAATTGAATATTGATAGCTACTTGATCAGATCACGTTGATCAAATATCGATAGCTATTGATAGCTACTTGATCAGATCACATTAATCAAATATTAATAATTACTTGACTGATAACTATTCGATCAATATGATTCTTTACAAGAATGAAATATTCAACAAGTCTGCACATTGAACGATTTGAATTATCTATACGGGTTTTATAGTGGGCTCACAAAGGCCCAACAACACCTTCCAAGTTGATTTGAACAGAAAAGAAGTTGTGAGCAATTGGTTATGACATTTTTAGTATTAATACTATTTGTATATCATAACTTGTATATATATATTTTGAGAACGAAACAACCATCCACATATTATACCTTAAGTATTAGTAGTTACATTTTTGGCTAGATTATGTGCTGGCTGAATAACATTTCTGTCAACTTTACGAATACATACATAATTCAAACCTTTTTGCATAAGCTAGAATATCATGAACAAGAGTAATAACATGCCAATCCTCCTGACATCGTTGCTGTTGAAGCATCTGAACCAGTACCTGACAGTCTATGTACACATTTATATGTTTCAAATCTCGTTGTACAGTCCATCGGATGGCATCCAAACACGCATGCGCTTCAGCTAGTAAGGCATGTGATAAGGATGGCTTCATCACAGCCTGCCTTTTAATCAACTGCTGCTGGTTGTCCAAGCAAATCCATGCAATTCCAGCGTGGTCGGTTGGCGATGTCCATGAGCCATCAATGACGAAATGCCAAGAATCAAATACACTGTTAGTGTCTATAACATTCTGCAACATACAAAGGTTAGATGTGTTAGTGCCTTGATTATTTTCAGAAGTAGAGCAAGTTCCATTGTCTGTTTTATTAAGACATGAGAACATATCAAAGAGTTTCCTAGCTTCCTCTAAGGTGTTGTCAACATTCGGGACAATGTGCTAGAAAACCACCTGATTTCTTTGTAGCCATATGGCCCATAGAATGGCAACCGATTGGATAACAATTTGAGTGTCATGGACTTGTTCAATCCAACCAGTAAACCATTGAAAAAAAGATGTTGGTACACCAATTCTAAAATCCAAACCCAAAGGCAAGCCCCTCCATACTCTTTGTGCCCACTCAAGTTCAAAAAATACAGGTTCAATTGTCTCCTCATCATTGTGACATCTGGCGCATCTAGTGCTAACTTGGAGTCCACGTTTTTTTAATTCCCATTGTACAGGAAGAATTCTATGAAGATATTTCCAAATGAAGACAGTCCATTTTGGAGGTAAGCCTATATTCCATAACTTCTTCCATGCCTCTTGAGTAGAACAAGTCCTATAAAACATAGGATAAGTCTGAATCAAGGCCAGTTTATAACTTGTATTTATGATATACCACTTTTTAAGGCCTCCTTTGAATTGTGGGTAAAAAAAAAAAATCAATGAATATGTAGAAAAGAAAATTAATAAGGAATCAAAGCATGCCAGACACCTTTGAATGGAATTGGGGTTGCTGCTGCGCAGCTTGCGCAGCAGTAACTGTTGTGCTTAGAAATGGGCCAATTTTGGGGGTCATTTTGATAATTCAAACCGTTCACATTTTAGATTACATCAAGTAGTATATGCCTGCAAAAAATCAAATTAATCGGACATCGTTTACCCATTCATCCACTCACATTTATATTCATTTTAATATTTTAAATCACAATTATTATTTATTTTTGTAGATACAAATGTGAGTAGATGAATGTATAAACGATATCCGATTAACTTGATTTTTTGCAGGAATGTTTTACTTTATGTATTCTAAAATATAAATAGTTTAGATTATCAAAATGAGCCTCGAAATAAGTCATTTCGATGCATAACAGTTGCTGTTGCACAGGCTGCACAGTAACAACCCCAATTCCCCTTTGAATATCTCTCTGTATGTAAGTTGAGGACTGCGGTGGTACCCTCCCTGTTGTGCCTTTCTTGCTGTTAAAAAGGCACCATTCTTTTCTTTTTTTCTTTTTTTTTAAGGATTACACAGTTTCACCTCTTTTTTTTTTTCTTTCTTTTCTTTTCTTTTTTTCATGTTCTCACTATATTTTTTGACATGATAAATTACACTTTGCCCCTATATTTGGTCACTTTTTTACTTTAATTCTTAAAATTTATTTATTTATTATTTTCGGGTTTAGGATTTAAGGTTTAATTTTTTTAATTTTAGGGTTTAGGGATAATTTTTTTTTATATATATATTTTAGAGTTTATCAGGATTTAATTCTTAAAATTTATTTTTTTATTTTAGGGTTTAGGGTTTAATTCTTAAAACTTATTTATTTATTTATTTTAGGATTTAGGATTTAATTCTTAAAATTTATTATTTTTATTTTAGGGTTTAATTCTTAAAATTTATGACTTTTATTTTAGGATTTAGGGTTTAGGTTTTGTGTGTGGGTTGGGGGGTAATGAAATAAGAAGTTAATGTAACCCTCAAAAAGAAGAAAAAAGAAAAGAAAAAAAAAATGGCCGTTTCAGCACGGCATGCACAGCAAGGGTGTTTTAGATGCCAATAGGTGTATTCATTGTTTAATAAGTCTTATAATAATTAATAATATTTTTTTATTAAATATTATTAAAAAATTGTCTCTAATTGTTAATTTTCAGCGACAGTTTAAAAATCGTCATAAAAATGTCAATAAATATAAGTTTTAGAGACAATTTTAAAAAATCGTCACAAAAAAGCATTACTAATTTTAACTTTTAGTGATAGTTTTCGTCACAAAAAAAAAATCACTAATTGTAAGTTTTAACGATAATTTATAATAACTGAGACAAAAAAAATCACTAATTGTCAATTTTTAGTAACATATACAAAAAAATCGTCACAAACAATTATTTTTAGTGATAATTTTACTAAGACTTATTTTCAATAAGATTTGATAAAAATTAAGTACAACTATTAGAACATATTAGTAATTTATCCGTGATAGGAGATTTTCCAACTGTATTTATTTCAAAATCTCCGTAGTTATTATTTGTCCTGAAATAGAATATGTGTCATTGTGAGTTTATTTGGGAAGTAGGTTTACTTTTTAAATTTTTGACTTTTTAGCTATTTTAGCAAGAGGCTAAAAAATCTCGTTTGAGATAAATTTTTTTGCTTTTTTGACTTTTTGTGAGAGAAAGAATATAATGATTATGAGTTAAATATGATATTTTGTTTTATTAAATTAAAAAACTTATTTTGTCTTTTTGTTACTAAAATAGCCCCAAACCCAACCCAATCCAATCCAAGTTGGCAAACGGAGGCTGTGGTAACTAACTAGTGTTGATATATAAATTTTTTAAAACAAATAATTTAGAAGCTAAGAGCAGAAAATAGTTTTTTTTTTTTTTTCCTTTTTTTTTTCTTGAAGCCGCCAAAATAGATTAAAAACAAATTAATTATTTAGTCTAAAAATTACAAATTTGAGTTAATAATGCTGCGTTTGTTTCAGAGAAAAACATTTTCTATAAAAAAAAAAATTCATAAAATATTTTTTTACAGAAAACGTTTTCATATTTTTTTTATTGTGTTATTGAAATTATTGTACTAATAATTGCATTAGTGCTGGTTGTAGTGGCAGCGATAAAGCGGAGGTGAAAGTGGAGGTGTTGAGGGTAGTGGAGCGACGGCGGCAGCAGTAATGGTGTGATGGTTTTGGTGGTAAAGTAGAGATGGTTGTGGTGGTTGTAGGGTGGTGGAAGTGATGGTTTATGGTGATGGTGGTTGTGGCCATAGTGGTAGTGGAAATTATGGTAGTGGTGGAAATGTGGTGACATAGATAATTTTTGTTCAGAAAATATTTTCCGTCTTGTAAAAATGAAAAATATTTTTGGCCCAAATAATTTTTTTTTCATTGACTATAAAAAATATTTTCTGTTATTGAAGGCAAAAATTAAGTCCTAGCAGTGTTAAGTGGTATTTGATCCAGTAGATTCAAGACATTGACTGAAGCCCTTAGATTCAAGACATTGACTGAAGCCCTTAAGTGGTATTTGATCCAGTATCTTGAGATTGGGTTGGGTTGGGTTTACCCCTCCCTCAAAAATAAAAGGGCTATTCATAGTATTATATTAAGAACGGAGGAAAAGACATAAAATCTACTAAAAATAGAAAGAAAAAGAGACGAGAAAAGCGGACACTTCATTCACTCCCTCCCACTAGAGTAGACAATGAATGGTACTGGATGTGAGGAGTTGGCTCTGCTTCTCCATGAAGAAAGAAGAAAATAGATGATTGGCTTTTCTTGTGCATACCAAACCAGAAGCTCATGAATGATCCAGAACCAAGAGGCAAAGTGCAACTTGGATTGAAGCTCTGAAGGTCAGCCATGGAAGCTTCCCGAACATGGGCTGAACGCGGTGAACTTAGCATCACTGCTTGCGTATCTCACCCTGAAGGAAGCCTATAAATATCTAGGTTAGGAATTGCATTTTACATGCAAACCATTGAATTGAAGAAGAAGGGAGTGGTGAGGAATCGGAGTGAATTGTACTCTCTCCAAAAATTTAGTGAAATTCTGCTGCCCGTGGACGTCGACAATTGCCGAACCACACTGTGTTTCTCTGTTGTGGTGTGTTGTTTGCATCAAATCTGAGGTTCCCTGGCCCTAACGCTCGTTTCGTACATTAGCATTGGACCCGAGCTCACTTCATCTATTCTAATTTGACATACCCTATCTAGTACAATCAAAGGTCTCGCACCTATAAAAGCAAGACTGCAACCCCCATCGCCAATGCTAGTTCGGCTGGCCGGAGGAGAGATCTTGACCTGCAGCTAGCATCTCAAGTTCCATGCACATCCGAGGGAAAGCCAGATCCATATGCTTTGGGAATTAGTTTGTCAGTAACCCCACCGGAAAACATTTTCTTCCACCCAAACAAACTGAACGTAAGTGAAAATTGAGTCAATAAATGTATGCACTGTTAATTACTCAAGTTACTTATGTATTACAAAACATCTCGTGGAAGAGAATACAATCTACATGGAGCTTAGTGCTACACTGCACACACATATAGGCTATCCCATTTTCAACCCCAAAAATTTTTTGTTCACACTTGTCACATATCGAGCTCTTATTCACCACTTGAACCAAATCAAGGGGATGTGGGTGACTATTAAATTTTTTAGTTATCCCCAACTTGATATTTGAATATTCTTTTTCCTCCTTGTAAATGCATTTAGCACAAGCAGATTGGTCGCAATCGATGCAATGATAGAACCACCACTTTGGGTCAATGTCTTCCTCACAAAATTCACAAATGTATTCGTCTGGACCATCTTTAATAGGAGCATAAATAAGGGAAAAGGGATGTTCGTCATACCTGTGCTTAATTGTACGCGGTAATAAAGCACAATTGCTGTGTAAGTGAAAATTGCAAATTCCACATCCGTATGAAAATGTTGAGTTACATCGATCACATGCAACACAACCTTCAATGGTACAATTGGGCCTTAGGCGCAGAGGGTGCTCATGAAATTCGTGCACAATGTAGCTCAGTAGGGAAGCACACTTCACATCGAGGTAGAAAGTTTCATTAAAATTGCACTCATCAGTAGTACATTGAAAGGTAAATCCGTTACATTGTTTGCCACAACCTCTGCATGTAAACCATCCAAAATAACTGCTCCTATTGTCGAGAGAGAGAGGGTGTGGGTGACATGGGTGTTGTATCTCAATGGGTAGCTCGACACACCATTTGTGCATAAAGAAGTCACATTGACTATGACTACAACTATAAAATGGAACCGAGATGGGTTGCACACAAGCATCACATATTTTTTCATTTTTCTGCTCATCATTATGAATAGATAGTTTGCTCATAGAACACAAATTATCTTCACTATCCACATCGAAAAGGATCAATGGATGGCTATGAATAGAATTGTAGAGCTTTGCTTCTATCTTATTGCTTGCGTGTTCCAAATCGAGTTGCTCCACAAATTGATCGATTAGATTGACTGTTGGGACATTGAGTTGCTCTACAAATTGATTGAATAGATTAACTGATTCGTCAGGCATTGGCAAGTGAAATAGATTGGTCATATCAAGTACCTCAACTCCGGTCACAGTTTCGATTTCCCTAGATCCACAAAAGTAAAAATAGAATGTAAATCCTGTTGAGGATCGGGGGCACACCAGGGAAGTCAAACAAGCAATAACACACAAGATTTAACGTGGTTCGGCAAGTCGCCTACGTCCACGGGCAGCGGATTCACTATATTGAACAAAATGGTAAGAATTACAACACTCTCTGTAATTCTCTCTCTCTGACTTTTTGACTATTTTAGTCTGAATATTTTTTAGCCTCGTTTGATTTTTTGTTTTGGTTCTTTTGACTTTTGTGAGTGAGAAAGTGTAATGATTAGGTTTAGATGTGACATTTTATCTTATTAACTTATGTAATCAATTTTGTCTTTTGTCCTTTTTTAGCCAAAAAGCCAAAACCAAACATAGCTTAAGGGGTGGCTTGAAATGTTTTAAATAAGTGTACTTTTTAATTTTTTATAAAAAAAATATGTAGAAAGATAGATAAGAGATGTTGATAGATGTTAATTGATGTGACCCAAATAAGGGGTTGTTTTGGGTATCCTAAATAAGTGCACTTTTTGTCTTTTTATGAAAAGATGTGCAGAAAAGTAGAGCTGGAGGACACCCCATGTGAAAGGGGTGATCCTCATGTCAACAATGGAAGGCCACCAACCTCATGTCAAGTCAAAGAATGAGGGCTCTCCCACCTACTCCTTTGTGTATAAATAGAGACGGGAGGGAGAGGATATAGATATCAGATGTGGAGCTGAGAGGTGTGAGTTGAGAGCAAAGAGAGAGAGAATTACAGAGAGTGTTGTAATTCACCATTTTGTTCAATATAGTGAATCCGCTGCCCTCTTCAAAATTTATTATTTTTTATTTTAGGGTGTAATTACTTAAAAAATTTATGGACTTTTATTTTAGAATTAGGGTTTAGGTTTTGCTGTGTGGGTTGGGGGGTAATGAGAAAGAAGTTAATTAACCCTCAAAAGAGAAGAAAAAACAGAAAAGAAAAAAAAAATGGCCGTTTTCAGCAACGCAGCACAGCAGGGTGGTTTTAGATGCCAATAGGTTGTATTCATTGTTTAATAAGTCTTATAAATAATTAATAATATTTTTTATTAAATATTATTAAAAAATTGTCTCTAATTGTTAATTTCAGCGACAGTTAAAAATCGTCATAAAAATGTCAAGAAAATATAGTTTTAGAGGACAATTTTTAAAAAATCGATCACAAAAAAGCCATTACTAATTTTAACCTTTTAAGGGGATAGTTTCGTCACAAAAAAAATACTAATTGGTGTAAGCAGTTTTTAACGATGAATTTATAATAACTGAGACAAAAAAAATCACTTAAATTGTCAATTTTAGAAACATACTAACAAAAATCGTCACAAACAATTATTGTAAGTGATAATTTTACTAAGAACTTATTTTCAATAGATTTGAAAAAATTAAGTAAAAACTATAGAACATATTAGTTATAATTATCCGTGAAGAGATTTTCCAACTGTATTTATTTCAAAATCTCCGATAGTTATTACTTTGTTCCTGAAATAGAATATGGTCATTGTGAAGTTTATTTGGAAGTAGGTTTACTTTTTAAATTTTTTGGACTTTTAGCTATGTTTTAGCAAGAGGCTAAAAAATTCGTTTGAGATAAATTTTATGTTGCTTTTTGAACTTTATTGTGAGGAGAAAGGAATATAATGATTATGAGTCAAATCTATGATATTTTGTTTTATGTCAAATTAAAAAAACTTATTTTGTCTTTTTTTACTAAAATGCCCAAACCCAAGCCCAATCCAATCCAAGTTGGCAACGGAGGCTGTGGCTAAACTACTGTTGACTCATATATATTTTTTTAAAAACAAATAATTTGAAGCTTAAGGCATAACAATATTATGTTATATATATATTTTTTCCCCCTGTTGTTTCCCTTGAAGCCGCCAAAATAGATTTTAAAAACCAAATTAATATTTAGTCTAAAAATTACAAATTGAGGTTAATAACTGCTGCGTTTGTGTCAGAGAAAAACATTTTCTATAAAAAAAAAAATCATAACAATATTTTGTTACAAAGAAAGCGGTTTATCATTTGTTTTTTTTTTTGTTATGTGAAATTAATTGTAACTAATTTAATTGCATAGTGCGAGGTTGTTAGTCGGCAAGCGATAAAGCGGAGGTGAAAGTGGAGGTGTTGAGGAGATAGTGGAGCTGAGACGGGCGTGCAGCAGAATGTGTGTGATGGTTTTGTGTATTAAAGTAGAGATGGTGGTTGGTTGTAGCGGGTAGGGTGGAAGTGATGGTTTTATGGTGATGTTGGTTTGTGGGCCATAGTGGTAGTGGAAAAATTTATGGTAGTGTGTGGAATGTGGTGACACATAGATAATTTTTGATTCAGAAAATATTTTCCGTCTTAGTTAAAAATGAAAAAAGTATTCTGTTGGCCCAAATAATATTATTTTTCTTGACTAATAAAAAATTATTTTCTGTTATTGAAAGGCAAAAATTAAGCTCCTAGCAGTGATTAAGTGGATATTTGATCCAAGTAGATTCAAGACATTGACTTGAAGCCCTTAGATTTCAAGACATTGACTGAAGCCCTTATTAAGTGGTATTGATCCAGCTACATCTGAATATGGGGTGGGTGGGGTTACCCCTGCCCTCAAAAATAAAAGGGCTATTTCATCAAGTATTATATTAAGAACGGAGAAAAGACATAAAATCTACTAAAAAATAGAAAGAAAAGACAGACGAGAAAGCGGACACTCAATTCACTCCTCCCATAGAGTAGACAATAATGGTCTGGATGTTGGAGGAGTTGGCTCTTGCCTTCTCCATGAAGAAAGAATGTAAAATAGATGATTGGCTTTTCTTGTTGCATACCAAACCAGAAGCTCATGAATGATCCAGAAAGCCAAGAGGCAAAAGTGCAACTTGGGATTGAAGCTCTGAAGGTCAGCCATGGAAGTTCCGCGAAACATGGGCTGAACGCGGTGAACTTAGCATCACTTGCTTGCGTATATCACCGCTGAAGGAAGCTATAACATTATTAGGGTAGCGAATTGCATTTTTTACATGCAACCATTGAATGAAGAAGAAGAGAGTGGTGAGGAATCGGATGTGAATTTTACCTCTCTCCAAAAAATTTAGTGAACCTTCTGCTGTCCAGTGGCGTAGACCAATATGTGCCGAACCACACTCTTGTTTCTCTCTTGTGCGTGTTGTGTTTGCTTCAAATCTTGAGGTTCCGCCTGCCCGTTAACACTCGTTTCGTAACCATTAGCATTGGACCCGAGCTCACTTCAATCTATTCTAATTGACATACCCTATTCTAGTAACAATCAAAGGTCCTCGCACCTATAAAAGCAAGACTGCAACCGCGCCATCGCCAATTGCTAGTTCGGGCCGGCCGGAGACGAGATCTTGACCTGCAGCTAGCCATCTCAAGTTCCATGCAGCATCCGAGGGAACAGCCAGATCCAATTATGCTTTGGGAATTAGTTTGTCAGAACACCCACCGGAAAAACATTTTTCTTCCACCCAAACCAAACTGAACGTAAGTGAAAATTGAGTCAATAATGTATGGCACTGTTAATTACTCAAGGTTACTGTATTTATCTTACAAAACAATTCTCGTGGAAAGAATACAATCTACATGGAGCTTAGTGCGTACACTGCACAAACAATATAGGCTATTCCCATTATTCACACCCCAAAAATTTTTTGTCACAACTTGAACAATATCGAGCTTCTTATTCACCACTTTGAAACAAAATCAAGAGGATGTTGGGTGAACTAGGTTAAATGTGTTTTAGTTATCCCCAACTTGTAAATTTGCAATATTCTTGTTCATCCTTGTAAATGGCATTAGCACAAGCAGATTGGTCGGCACATCGATGCAATGATAGAACCCCACTTGGGCAATGTCTTCTCACAAAATTCACAAATGTATTCGGTCCTGGACATCTTTAATAGGAGCAGTAAATGTAAGGCGAAAAGGATGTTCGTCATGACCTGTGCTTCAATATGTACGACGGTAATAAAGCACAATTGCTGTGTAAGTGAAGATTGCAAATTCCACATCCTTATAAAATGTTGAGTTACATCGAATCACATGCAACATCAACCTTCAATGCGTACCAATGTGGGCCTTGAGCGCAGAGGTGTGCCTCATGAAATTCGTGCACAATGCATGCTCGGTAGAGGAGCCAACTTCACATCGAGGTTAGAAAGTTTCATTATAATTGCACATCATCCATTAGACAATTGAAAGGTAAATCCGCTTACATTGTTTGCCACAACCTCGGCATGATAAACCATCCAAAATAACTGCTCCTGATCTTTGTGCAGAGAGAGGGTGTGGTTGACATGGGTGTTGATCTCAATGGGTAGCTTCGACACAGGCCATTTGTGCCATAAAACGAAGTCACATTGACTATGACTACAACTATAAAGAGACCAAAATGGGTTGCACAAGCATCACAATATTTTTTCAATTTATTCTGCTCATCATTATGAATAGAATAGTTTGCTCATAGAACACCAAATTTATTCTTCACTATCCCACGATTGAAAAGGATCAATGGATTGGCTATGAATAGAACTGTATGGCTTTGTTCTATCTTATTGCTTGCGTGTTCCAAATCGAGTCTGCTCCCCAAATTGATCGATTGAGATTGAGCTTGTTGGGACAGTTGACGTTGCTCTTACAAATTGACTTTGAATAGATTAAACTTGATTCGTCAGCATTGGCAAGTGGAAATAGATTGGGTCATAGTCAAGTCCTAATCTCCTGTCACAGTTTCGATTTCCCTAGATCCCACAAAAGTAAAAATAGATGTAAATCCAATGACAAGAAAAGATATAGCCAACATTTAAAAGAAAGAAAAAGAAAAAGCATTATAAGTATTACTTGGTCTTTGTTGCGCAATTTGCATGAGCATGATATTGGCATCCTCTACATTGATAACTCCATTGGTAATGCCTTAAATCTCTCCTGAACAAATACGACAACTTGCATCATTACACCGAAGAATAGCAGAGGGTGAGAGGGTGAACGTGACCTCTATATTGAAGGTGGTTGGTAATAAAGCACAGTCCTCGTGGATCCAGAAGTCACAGGTGCTACACATATAGGACAAGCCTTTATCATGTTGTTGTACAACAAGCATGACATTCCGAACAAGCCGGGCTGAGTATCGGGCTTAATGGGTGTTTGTGAAATTCGTGTTCAACACTTATTGATCTCGCAGCACATCTGATGTCTATTGTTAATGGCCCATAGGCGCTTGATGTGTCTTCGCAAGTAGTTGAATCCATAGAAATATCGGGGACACCAAATGAGAGAGAAAATAAAGAGAAGTTGTTCGTCGTCGAGTTTGATAATCGGGATCAAGGGTAGGCTCGTCTGGGGGATGAAGGTGGAGGTAAAGAGTCTTCTCTGGCGTAATTGGGTGTTTTGATTTGTCTGGGTAATTTGGCACATAATTTGTGTAGAAAGAACGACAATCTGTGCATCCATAAGCTGAGGAACACCTGTGATGTTTTGTAAAACACCCGATGCAAACAATTTCCACACCATCACGATTCTTCACTTCACTGATGTCAACGGATGGCTCATCGATCCAGTTGTTGAAGTTCCATCCCCCACTCTCCTCTCTGTGTTATCGGTGGGTTTGTGCGCGTGTTAAACTACGAAAAGATTGTTTTTTTAATCAACAAAATGAAACGTTATTAATAAAAAAATCGCATCCAACAAGATGAGGTGGTATGTCCAAAAATGGCAGCAAACAAAAAGCTATAAATAAATGAGACGTCATATGTTTTTGTTTGTGTTTCTTTTTTTCTTTTTTTTTTAACAGCATAGTGTTCCATTGTAATAATGAAAAAAAACTCACCAAATAAATGCAAATATATGATGTAAGCAACCATAAGTGTCAGTGGCCTGGTCACAAATTTTATGCTTTACGCAACAATAATTTAATTATTTTGAAAAGCAAGATGATTATAAACAAATTTTTTTTTGGTTAAAAGGGGTTTACGCTGCTTTTGTAAGAGAGAGAGAGAGAGGGTATAATTCGGAAAGTTGAACGGACTTCCCAAAAGAGGCCAATATGTTTATAGATAGATCATCTCTCTATGCAACAATAATGTTTAGGAATGGCACCAGGGCGGGGCTTGGCCGGGGATCACCCTCCCCGTCCCCGATCCCCGATGGTGAAAAATATTTCCGGCCCCGGCCCCGATCCCCGACGGGAAACCTATGACTGTCCCCATCCCCGCCCCCAACGGGGATCGGGGTTTCCCCGACCCCGAAACTCCTCCGATCCAAATCTGTTTCAACATTCAAAACACACAAAACCACACACAGATACACAAAACACATAACAGATCTATAGTATTTTCTTATTTTTCTACAATAGATAGAAATTATAAATGAAAATTTACATGTATACAGATCTATAGAAATTATAAATTAAATCAGATCTATAGATAATTACCCAGATCTATAGTATAATCACAGATCTGAGATCTCTGTGTAACGGCGACGACGGTGAGCTCGATGGACAGGAAGAAGAGGGAAGCGACGG